AATGGTATTTGAGTTCAACACAAGCTCTTCGCCACTGAAAAATTGAGTATATGTAAAACAATATGTATGAAATATATAGAACAGGATAACCTACCTCTCCACATGAATGGCACGCAATGCTTTGCGGCCTGTATCCGTATATAAGCCTCCATAGAGCCACTGTCCATCGTCGCTTAGCTTCATAGACTTAAACGAATGTTYCAACCGCATAAACAGATCAAAATGCGATAATCCAAACTCTTTGGAACGCTTCCACAGCTTACAGCAGTTGTCTGTGCTGGTCGCGTAAACATCGTCCACAAAATCCACACAATACAAATACTCTTTGGCATGGTGCATTTGCTGCTCGGTAATATCTTCGGCATCCTTCACGAAGCAGGTGCCACACACTCGTCCAGCAAATATGGTGTCCTGCTTCTTTRCAAAGTCCGAGATATCCGATAAGGTGGGTGTACTGATCTCCTCCTCATAGCGTCGCTGTAGTGCTTCGGGACCAGCCCGACGATATTTGCGTAAATAATTCGCGTGCGTTATATACAGTGCGTCCGATTCTAACCAAAGCTTCGAAGCGAACATTTGCGCATGGTGGTAATAATGTCGTTCCACATAGACGCCTTTAAGCCAATTTCTAGATATTTGTAAACGCCGCAGATAACTTAGTTGTGTTGGATTCCTGGAAAACACAATAAGCAATTAAATTCAATTCAATTTCGATATCAAAAGGTATTATACCTTAGCTCCACACATGGTTTATTTCTATGTCCACATAGTAGCAAATCCTTTGTCAGGGCATAGAATATGTTCTGATCGATGACTGCTTTAAGATAGTTGTTCGCCTCACACAAGATAATCAATTCGCGTTCAGATAGATATTTAAAAATTCGCAAAAGACAGTCGATGTTTAGATCTATAAGCTTCATTTTGTTGGTTTGAATTGCTTAAAGCAATAATTGATGTTGCTTGGTAATGTCTTGCATTTATTACTATGTAATGGTTGGACGTGGAGCTGGTATTCTTCCCTGCTATGGACATCATACGCACAAAAATAACTRGTAAACAYGGGATTTAGTTAATTTTTATTAAGTAAAAAGCACCTTCCTTCTGACCGTCTGTAGTCTGCTTCTTGCCAAATGCATAACAGAGCGAATATATTAACATTTTCTGTTATCAATAGTCAAATTTGGTATTCGATATTTATATGCGCAATATATCGATAGACGGATAGCTGCCAAAAATCAACAACAGCGAAGCTACATTCAAATTTTTTAAATGCGTAACGGACACTAAGACAAGGAAACTTTCATATATATCAATATATATATATAGATATCAATATATATAACAATATAGGTATATATTCTTATTGCTTTCTTTAAATGATTGCCTATCTTTTCACATGCACATAAGTTATTTATAAAAACTGTACATAAAATGTTATTTAATAGTTGCGCTCGCATCAATCACCCCCGCCATATAAACTCAATCAATTAAATGTCAGGTTGTGAAACCAGCCAAAAGACACGAATGTTGTCAGTGCACATCAGTGCGCTTAGAGTTATTTAGCACAGTCTTTCTCTAATTAGTGATAGAACTTTAGMGAGATACATCTGCGCTAAATACCAAAAATAAAGCACATGCCGCTGTCGTCTGCGATGCTAGCCGTTAACTAAGAGGAATTTTTTGCAATGATTTGCATAACTTGATGATTCTTAATCTAATTCGCCTATTGAGTCATTGAGTTATTGTTAAGCACCAATACGAAACTCAGATTGTATTGTTAACTAATAAATAAAGATCGAGAACTACCCAGAACATTTTCATAATTTATATGCGCTTTAATTATCTATAATTTCGTACCTAAACATTCYAAAATATTATCTACAAAGTTCTAGAAGTACAACCACACCTAATTAAAAGTATTCCGACATTTTCAACTCAAGAGAGTTGTCGCTATCACATAGGCCACATATGTATGTCTGTACGTAGGTGATGGCGCCTACGTTACTCTCTGCAGGTTTAACGTTCTTACGAAATTCTCTCGCCAATTTTATAATACTATCTACATGCATACGTATGTGTGTATGTATGTATATATGTATGTGATGTGTTTCGAGCTACGTAGAAGTTGGCACGTCGACACTACGTTAGGTCGCCTATTGCGCCGTTAACTAAATACATAGTTAGTAAACAATTTTGTTTTTTTGGCAACTTGTATTAATGGAAACTTTGATAAAAAAATATACAAAACATAATTGTAATGCTATATTGCATGTTTTCATTTTTATATACGGAAATATTTCAGGTATTTCACAAATTCATTCAATTTCGTCTCTTTTGAATGGTGGTTGAATCAAATATTCAGGACGGGTTTTTTTATGTGTAACTGGGTTTTTTTTATTAAAAAAAAATACCCTTTCTATTTCGTTAAGCTCTGCATCTATTATAACACATCCTTTTTTGAGTATATGAATAAATGTATGCTTGTATATGTATATTTTTCATTGTTAAAAAATTGCTATAGTTTCAGATTCACCTATACGAATTTTGAGAACACGTTCTGGTTTTTGAAAGGGTATTATTATTATTTTTTGTTATGACATCATGTAAGAGCTAGCCCTCAAGAATTCTTCTTCTCTATTCCATTAAAAATATCAACTGATAAGGCTCTTATCAACAGATTAGCTTTTCCCACGTGCTGAAACATTCGATATTCCCACACAATTATACTTGGGCAATCAACTAAAYAGACAATGACTAGTAAAAWATATAAGTAAACTMACTAATTTAACTTTAACYATATAATGACAATCAAAATTGACTTTCATTAATTTGATATATTTTTACATATATCAAAATACAGTCGACTCTCGTTATTTCGAAATTCAAGGGACTCTTAAAATATTTCGAATTGTCGAGTGTTTAACCATATGAGTACGAATTATCGCGTCTTAGCAATGATTTTTAGTTCGAATTACTGAGTTATAACTTTTAATTAATGAGAGGTTCGAAATAACGCAGGTTTGAAATAACAAGAGTCGACTGTATTACTTTTTTCTGTAATATTAAGGCAATAGTCGAAATATTCAGAGCCCAAACATCTAGAAGCTTTATAGGAAAAATACATTCTGCATATAGAAATACATCTAAAAATGTTTAAAAACTATTTAAATTAAAAAAAGTTTTTTTTTTTTTTTTCAAAGTGAGATCAAAGTTTTTATTCGTTTCATANTTTTTCTTTCTATCATTCATCATAATATGCGCAAAAATTAAAAAAAAAAAATGTATACATAGATTTATATAATAAATAACAATTTGCTTTCATTGCCATTGTAAACATTGAAAATAATGCTTTCCATCAAATTGATAAGTTCCAACAATTTACAGCAAAATATTAATTTATGTATTGTACATAAGTTTCTATTAGGAAGAATCAGTTGCAGTTGCAATAGTTACGAGGACGATTCGCATACGAATTTGGATTTTTACATATGAAGCAATTAAAAGGATCCTTYAAGTAGAGAACGGTCTAACGTTAYTTCGTTACKGTTTTGGAAGGCAGTGAGAGTTTTTATGTAGTTACTAATTTTGTGTACGTGTAAGGTGAGCGAGGCTACAAAGTCTTTTTGAGTGCGAGTGTCAAAGGTGAGCATCACACCTTCGCGAAGGATGTTGACGTGAAGAGCGCGGCCGCCTTAGCCCTGGCTATCTTCGTAGAGCGCAGGTAATCAATGCGCCTCATGCAGAGAGAGGTCCACAGAATTGAATCTTGAATCCAATCAAGATCACGCGCCAGCGTATACGAGAGAGCGAGCTTCCAGTGGCTTCTTGTGTGTCTCCGTGTCAAGCATAGGTCAGCCCATATCCTCGTCAGCATCTGCATCGGTTTCAGTTGAACTGCTTAGAGTGCTGGAGCTGGAGCTGCTTGTTTGGGCCATTTGCAAAGTAGTGTGGGTATAGTCTAGCGGCTCCACACCGATGTCGTCGTCAAACTCATCTTCCGGCTTCTCACCAACCAGTGGGCAGATTTCACTCATGTCGCCCACCTCCATGCTTTCATGACCATCCTGATCCTCTTCGACATCCCAATCGTCGGCAATTTGCACATTGACGGGCAGGTACAAATGGAACGGCTTCTGCTCTCGCAGCCAGGGCGTTAGGAAAATGTGAGTTGCCGTCATGCGCTCAGTGTAATTCTTGCGCAGTAGCGAGAGCATTAACCAGCGAACCGACTTGGATAACGACATTGGTATTTGGACATTGCCATGCCTGATTACCGTTATCAGATTGCAGTTGGCCTTCTCGTAGAAGGGATACTGGCCAACGAGCATTGTGTAGAGTATGACACCCAATGACCACATGTCCGCCGGCTTGCCCTGGTACGTGGGCTGCGGACACAGCAGTTCCGGTGCCGTGTACAGTGGACAGCCGATCTTGTCGCTAAGCGTATCATCCTCACCATCCAGTATCATGGAGCCCTCCAGCGATTCGTACTGCARTTTSGTTCTGTAATCATACAARAAATAAATACATTYCAAATTAATGCTAATTCCATTTTATTTATTGCGCTCTGCGCTTGCAATCGCAGTTAAATGCAGAGTTGCATAATTTTCAAAATTGATGGTGTTGCCATTTACTATCGCATTACAAAAGACAGACACAGAGAGGGAGAGAGACACACGAATCGATTGGCATTGCGTTGGCGTTGGCATTAGCGTTGATGGCGTTGCCAGCCCTAGTGAAGCGAACTTGCTGTGAGCGTATGTAATTGATATAACCACAAAGCCAAAGCGTGCACCCATCTCTGACAAAGCTGGCGACCCCAAACACCCAAGAGCGGTGACACCATGTTGACATTGGCCTACATTTTCATGCAAAAAAAAAAAAAACTGAAGAGAAACAGAGAAACAAAGAGAGCGCTCGCTCAACTTGGGCCTATTTGTAAGTGACACTGCAGTGGCTGTGGCAACTCCACCTACGGCTTCAAAGTTGAAACAACAATGACAACAGATAATAAACATTGGAAAAAAAAGTTAAAAGCTAAGATAATTAAGTGAGCGCCAAAAGCTCAACAATATTATTTTTTCGATTGTGCCATGAAACAAACAAACATACACACACACACACGCGAGCACACATACGAGCTGAAAAAACCTCGAGCTGACCCTGAGCAAAAATGAGCAACCAAAATTAAAATTGAGCGAGCCTTTTGCCATCAAACAAAATTACAATACAAACTACGATCCATGCACGAGAGTAATTCAAAGAGAGAGCTTGAGAGAGGGAGAGTGAGAGCAACGGGTAGTCTAGCTGTTACAACAAGCGACCTTGTTTGCTTACAGAAGAGGGAGGCGAGCATTGCGCAGCCCATTCATTTGAAGAGCGAACACGATGGCTCGCTCTCCCTCTCGCGCTCGCGTTGATATTAACAAATTGTATTTTCCAAAAAGATACTCGCACCATCAATTAGACTGGAGAGGAGAGGTGCGCTGAGTGTGGAGGAAGTCGATGTTAATACGTGCTGCTAATTTAAATGCTATTTAAATATCTATACGCGAACAGAAAATTATAATACATGAACATACATACAGAAGATCAGAGTCAGGGCCGTAGCACAAATTGACCTTAAAGTCGAATGGGTGCGTATGTGTGTGTGTGAGTATGTATAGATGCATGTGATTTAGATTGGGTATGTGTAAATATTGAATATTTAATATAAGTCCGCTCATCGATGTCTGAAAATCGAGTATTGATCATATAAGTATTTAATTGAATACGTAACTTATATGCAATACTTACAATTTGTATGATATATATTTTCGCAAAATAAGTGCATTCAACTCATTTTATATATGTACCATTTAAATACCATATTTTGTTATTCTGCATTCCACAATTGTGTATACTTTGTACTGTATATATGTATATGCCTCAATTGTTTTTCGAGATAATTGAAATTGACTCAAGTCTTTGAGTGTACAGAAATCGGTTTATTTGGCTTAATAATTTATTTACTAGGTAAACACATCTATTCAGCTATTATCTCAACAAAAAGTAAACAATAATAATAAAAGGTCTAAGGAATCTTTGCAATCTAATGAAATTCCCTAAACGCAATTAAGATAATAAAATTGTATATGATAGATGAAAGATTGCGATAGTATATACATATGTATTTGCTATAGAAACAAG